CGTATGGATTCACACATATTTTTTTCCCTTACCACGTCCAACTTACTGATTCGCACACCTCTTTCGAAATGAATTTCAGTACTTGTGCTTAAAGTTCTCAAGTTTCATTTGATAAGTGGGAAAGAGCCATTACAGTTGTGTAATCACCGTTTGATTTCCTTTGGTTGACTGTTGAATGCCATCACTGTGCGTATTCCTGCAATCACTTCGCTAGCCAAAGCATCAGCCGCTGAATAAGCTTTCATCTCTGATTTTGAAACTTTTGTAAGCAACTGGAATGAGAAATATCATATTTCGAGATGGAAACAACATGTGAATGAGGTAGATCTGCCGACCCACCTTTGCAGAAATTATCATTGCTGAAAGAAGCAAAGGTACTGTAAATAAAGTCACCAAAGTCATTTGCCAGCTGAAATCGCGAAAAGTATCGTTGGTAGCGATGGTAAGTGATAAGAGGAATTACAAACAGTTCCGAATATTATGAATCGTTAAAGATTTAGGAAATGTGGGCCTGTAGCAAAGTTAAACTTACCTTAAGTAAAAACCAAATGAAATTCCACTGATAAATGCTCCAACACCAGAAAATACTAATCCCAATTTGTCTCTAAGTCCATCTCTAATGCGTTCAATACCACTGCAAGAGAAAACTAGTTGGATTAGTTAGTAGGTTAAGTTTATCAAATCATGTTCTGCTCCTTAAACAGATTCTTTCCGGCCGCAAAGCGTCAAAAGATATACTTATAAAATCACTCTGTTGTATTCAATGGCTAAGCTGAAAAGATTATTGGAAAAATACCTGCTCATTTTCCTTGTTAGTGCACCTACTTGTTGAGTATCAAACCATGCCATATCCTGCCGCATTACTGCTTTCAGATAGCTCTCACTAAGAAATTTGATTCTTCGTTCACACATCGTGTATAAACAAGCATTCTATAATAAGCTTTTTTGATAGACATTCTTCTAAGGAAATTATCTCCATACTGAAAAATATCCTATTGCCAGAAGGGCTACTCCCAATTTGAGGTAGAGATTACAGTAATACTGCATATTGGCCG